TCCAGTCCCCACCAGTTTATTCCCCACCCCCCATCCCACTCCTCAGTTCCAGAGAAGCAGTTCAGGACAAGCGCGGTCCCGGCGCGACCCGGAGCCAGGCTGCGGACCCAGGACCAGTGCAGCCAGCGAGCCCAGGACACCGCCTCCGGCGTTCCCCTCCCGGCCGCCTGCGGGACTCCATGGCAACTGGAGACCCAGGGAGGTGCTTGCAGCTGAGGCCGAGTCGCGCCTTCCATATATGGGAGGCGGCCCTGGCCCCGTTAGAAGTCTGAGAAAAACGACATTAATAATGCAGGGCTTCCATGGTGAATGATTCATGTTCTCTGTCCTCTGGCTTTGCCACACACGTGCCACCGGCACCTGTTAAGACCTGGTTAGGCAGCCGCTGTGTTGACGGTGCCACTACCCTATCTTGGCAAGCAGGGCAGTGATGTCCACAGTCACTGGGTCTTTCCCTGAGCCAGCACTATGATAAGTACTCAAGTTCATATCTCCTTTCTCCTCATAACTGAAACATTTTGCAGATAAGGAAAGCGAGGCTTCGCAGGTTTATGTGATCTCAATAACGGACACACAAGCAGGTGAATGGGGTAGCTAGGAAACCTACACAGGTGGCAACTACCAGCTATTCCCTAACTTCCTGAGATGCACAGATGGTATCTCCCAAAAGCCACCCAGGGAGGTTTGTCTTGCAGCCAGGTTATGCTAATGGAGTGGGTAGGGGCTGCTGGGAGAGCCCAGACACTGGGCTCTGCTCAGAAGATGAAACTTGGTCTGGGGACACACAGCTCAATGGTAGGTACACTGTCTGCCTAGCATTCACCAGGCCCTGGGCTCAATCCTCAGCACCAAGCACGAAGCCTGCTCTTCCAGTTGCTGTGTCCTAAACCCGTGCACCTGAACTCACTAGAAGCAAAGAAACACTCTAACGGAATCCGGTGAGTGGTGGCAGGTGACCAAGCACACCCTGCATGTGTTTCCCCGTCCTGGGTGGGGATGTCTACCAGTTGGGTGTGTGTGTGTGTGTGTGTGTGTGTGTGTGTAGAGTAGGAGTGCTGAATGATTCTATAAGACAAAACGGTGGTGCATAACTGTGGGTGCATAACTGTGCTTGCAATTCTGACTTGACAAATCCTATGCCCAACCTTGTTTGATTCAACCACCCACACTTTATCTCAGCCTGAGAGACAAGAAACTAGCTCACTAACTCTCAAGCTTTAGCAATTCTGACACTCCTCAGGATCATCCTAAATTTTGTTTTCCAATTTAAAGAAAAAAAGGTGAAGGAAAAATGAGCCCATCCAGCTGCTGAGGGGTGTTCAGACAAAGACAGCTGTCAGACCCTTGCCGGAGCCTGACCGCTGAGGAAGGTCGAGGGAGAGGGGCAGATTCTGAGTGCTTGGTGTTTGGGCACTGCTTGGGCTCTGCACCTCCCCTCCCAGGAGTGAGTCAAGTCAGGATCCCCCAGCCCCCACCCGCACTCCCCCATCACTGCAGTGCGTGTGGGGAGGCACCTCCCAGATCCGCAGGAACAATGGGCTGGGGAGGGGGTAGGTGCATCTCCAGTGCAGCAGAGGGCGGGGGCCACGGCCACCAACCGGGAGCGCAATTTCAATGGTGGCTGCACTATTGGTGCTCTTGCTGGCCTCAGTTTCCCCGACTTTGGGGTCCAGGCAAAGCTGGGCGAGCCTTTTCTGGCTGGATTTCCCTTACGTCCGGGCATTTTAATTTCGTCCTCCCAAGACGGCTTGCCTGGAGCTCCAGGGAAAGCCGCTGGGCCGCGCTCCTCTTGGGGGATTGCTCCCGCCAAGGCCCTGCAGGTCAGGGACGCCCGGCGTCTCTGGCGCCCAACTTTCCCCACTTGGGACTCACAGGAAGACCGGAATCCTGGCCAGCCAGTTCCCACCGCGGGCGAAGGTTGATTTACTGCCCTGGGCTCAAAGAGCTGCTCCTCCTCTTCCTCCGGCCTCATTCTCCGGTTCTCTCTGGCTCTCCCTCCCTCCATCTGTGCCCGAATCACTCCCCAAAGAGAGCAGGCCTGGCACCTGGGCCAAAATACAAATGTCCTTCCTCCGCACTGTCCCCACCCTACCTCTGGCGAGGAGGGGACTGTCAAGCCCCTGCCGCTTCGCCCTTTCCAAGCTCAGGGAATCCTTGGAGATGGGTGGGGAGGGGATGGGATAACCTAAGGCGGGAGCTACTGCTCCCACTCCAGGCGCGTGCGTCCCGCCGCGGCAGGCTGGAGTAAGGGGACGGGTCCGAATCTCCGACCTCCCCTAGGATCCCACCCTCGCCTCGCTGAGTCACGGAAATGACCCTCTGGGGATACCCGACCACCCAGCAGCCGGCCATTTACCGGGCCAGCGCTGGCATCCCCAGCACGGTGCACAGGGATGGACAGAAGGGCGGTTCTTATCCGAACTCGTAATCGGCCCCGCCGGAGGCGCCACCCAGAGGCGGGGACAGAAGGGGTGCCCCAGCGGGGGCTGCAGTCCTCGTCGCAGTGTCCGCACCCTGGCCGGAACAGAGCACGTGACCCGCGGGCCACCTCCAGTTCCCGGAGCCCTCTTCCCTCCTAGGCGCTGACCCTGGCCTCTCCCTCCCGGGAGGGCAGGTTGGGTCCAGGGCACCCACTTTTCCATCGTCCACGAGGCGGTTATGGGGCGCCGGTCAGAGCGTGCCTCATCCCTCCCCTACACTGACAGCCGCAGCCGCAGCCCCAGGACGCGCGCCCTGAGCTCACCTCGGGGCCCGGTGTCGCTGCCGCCGGCCTCCTTGTCCGCCATGGTCGCTCAGCCCTGACCCGCGAGAGGAGCCTCCTGCGCAGCGCCGATCCGTGCCGGTGCGGATTCCTGTCCGCGTC